TGGGATGCACTGAGAGGGCGACTGAGGCTGGGCGTCCTGGTGCACGCCTGTCATTCCAGCACGTGGGAGGAGGATCACTACAAGTCTGATTCTGTGTACTGAGACCCTGTACTAAATGCATTAAAATAAACAAACAAACAAATTCAGTTCTAAGGAGTCTAGTTGGTCAGTATCTTTCAGGCACCAGGTCAATCACCTCCTCACCCTTTCTCGATGATAATGAGTCCCAGTAATCAGGAAACACTTTGTCATGGAAGGAGAAGCCTGGCCTCGGGTCTCCCTCTGGCTGCCTCCATGAGGTCTCTCCCTCCTGCCTGCACTCCCCCCATGAGGCCATCCACTGAAGTGCAGTGGCACCCAGGGGCTTCACCAGAGACAGCGGATGCTGCTGCCAGATCTTCGAGCTTCCGAACCTGTGAGCTAAATAAATCTCTTCTCTTTACAAAGAACTTCATTTCAGGTATTTTGTTATTGCCATTGAAAACAGATTAATTAACACAGTTCATTTGATTGTTCTGACACACAAACACCAGTTTAATGAATCTAACAGAAGTTAAAAATCAGTGAAAATTCATTCAACCATTGGAAGAAAGCTTCCCCTATACTAAATGAGCACTGTATACACAAATACTTTTTTAAAAAAATGGGCTGGCCAAATAGCTCAGCAGATTAAAGCACCTGCAAGCAGGTGCAGGGGCCAGGGGTTCAATCCCCAGGCCTGCCGTGCGGGTCCTACCCCCAGGGCACAATGAGATGGCAGTTGAGACTGGGCTTGGTGGAACATGCCTGTAATCCCAGCTCTTGGAAGGCTGTAAACAAGAGAATCACTACAAGTCGATCTAGTAGTGAGATCCTGAACACCCCGTAGACCCATTCCTAAAATACAGGAAAAAAAAGTAAGAAAAGAAAAAAAAATGAGAAGAAAGCAGGGATGATTAAATTATTCTCACCAGACATGTTGAAAATATAACATTATAGCAATTTGCTTCAATAGCTTTTTTCTTATGAAGAGTAAAATTATGAAATATTTTATAAATTTATAGTTCTCAATCCTGGCTTTACATGTACTTTACAAGGGAGTTTTTAAAACCACAGATGCCCTGGTCCTAGTCAAAATCTACTGAATTGGATTTTTTATTTTTTTCTTTTAATATTTTCCTTTTTCTTTTCTGTCCAGTATATACTGAAGTACTGGGGAACTGAAACCAGGGACTTCAACTGAGCCATATCCCCAACTCTTTTTTTTTATTTTCCATTTTGTGACAAGAATTCCCTAAGTCACTAAGGTGACCAGTATGGGCTGAAACTCATTGTCCTCCTGCCCCTTCTTCCAAGCAGCTAGCAGAATGAAATTTTTTAGAGTGAGACCTTGGTGTTAGTATTCTTTGTTTCTTTCCCTGGATGATTTTAATGTGCAGTCAAGAGCTGAGGACACAGCTCAGTGGCAGTGTGCCTGGCTGGCAAGCGCAAGATATGTAATCAATGTTGAGAACCACTGATAGAGTCTTGAATTAATTGATTTATTGATACTAAGTTGTAAGGTATTGTTCTGCACAAGCCACATTTTTTGTGCCTTTTTTTTTTTTTTTTTTTTTTTTTTTTTTCTTTTTTGTTTTTTTCTGTTTTTTTTTGGTGGAACCAGGGATTGAACTCAGACCCTTGCACTTGCCAGGGAAGCACTTATTCCACTGAGCCATCTCCCTGGCCCCAAGCCACATTTTTTTTGACATCGGTTATACCTGTGACCTTCAGTTAACCTTATATGTAATGACCTAATTATGATAGTTAATATTTTTTGTTGTTGTTCTCTCATTGACCCATATCTAACTGAAGAAGCAACTTTTTCCTAAAGCATATTTTCCTTGACGTGAGTACAAGACTTCGTTTCTTTAACGGTGCCTCCGTGGGCCATCACGTGGCTATTCTGCAGTTACAGATTGAGAGAGTTGGAGTTGATATTTGAAGAAATACAGCTGGTTTCAATAGATAAATATGAGCTCATTTCCATGGAAAGCATTTCACCAAGCACAGCAGAGTTACAAAAATACTACCAGTTGTCTCTCAAAGAAGTAATTATGTTCTTAGTTTGTCATATGACAAATATACTACAAAATAATAAGTTGCTTTCAGGAATATTTTGAAAAATTATAGTCTACAAATGTCCTGGGTGATGACTTTTAAGCATTGGTATAGTTAATAAGACTTGGGGGAAGGTATAGCTGACTTTTATAATGATTTCAAAGCTTGAAAAATGTAATCATAAGTGATTAATCCCATGCTTATAAGAGGTTAATAAACAGAAATTTCTATACTGGTACAGAGATAAGCTGTTTTTAAGACATATTAGGAGCCCTCAGAAATTGAAACATTTTGAAGAAATAAAAAACATTTGAAGAAATTTAAAAAAAACCCACCTCTCTCATCTGAAGTAATTAGAAGTCACTAGAAATAGACTCAAAAAGTTGACACAACATATTTCAAGAATTTATTTCAAGGGGCCAGACGGTTAGCTCAGCCAACTAAAGCACCTGCTTAGGCAGAGCACAGCAGCTGGGGTTCAATCCCCAGCATGCCGTGACCCAGCCCCACACCCAGGTGCACTGAGATGGAGATTGAGACTAGGTGTGGTGGCGTGCACTTGTAATCCCAGTGCTTGGGAGGCTGAAAACAGGAGGATCACTATTGAGTCCGATCTATGTAGTGAGACCCTGTAGACCCTGTAGACCCTGCCCTAAATTCATAAAAAATAAAGAATTTATTTCAATGTTAATCACACAAATAAATATAAAGGCATTCACTAATCTTTGGATATTGAGTCATGACTGGAATTTTTTTGCATTTTTTGGCTAAGCCATGCCCCTGGTTCTTGCTTGTATTTGAAGTGGGCCAGGATATTTAAGAAGCTTATAAAAGACCTCAGTACAAAGAACACCTAGATATTTTTGCTATACTTTCCCAATATGTTGTATCTGTACATTCTACTTCTAAGTAGTGATTTATTTCTTCATGTTGCTATCTTAAGTTTTACATTCTTTTTTTTAATAAACTGAGATAAAATCATATAACATAAACTTCACTGAATTAATCACCCTGAAATATATACTTCTGTGGCTTTTGGTATATTCACAATATTCTGCAACCGTCACCATGTTCTAATCTCAGAACACAGCCATCGCTCGAGAAAGCAGCTTGGGCCATTATCACTCGCCCCTCCCCCCAGTCCCATCTCCTGGCAACCAGTGATCTGCATGTCTCGGGATCTGCTTCTCATCTGTGGCCTTTATGTACCTAACTTCTTTCACTTTATATTTTGAAGGTTCATTCATTTCCCAAAATATGTGGCTGCTTCATACACATGCCTTATTTTAATGGCTGCTTGCCATAATTTGGATATTGAATTTCTCTCCAAAGTGTCTAAGGCGGCTGTGGTGCACACCCACAATCCCTGCACTTTGGAGGTTGGGGGAGGACGATCTCAAGTCCAAGGCCAGTGTAGGATATGCAGTGAGTTCAAGGCCAACTCAACTATCTAGCAAAATCCTATCTCAGAAACAACAGATCTCCAGCCTTTTGGCTTTTGGCTACACTGAGTGAAAAAGAATCATCTGGTGCTGCATATAAAATATATAATATACTTATTGCGTATAACTAGAAAATCTTTATTTTTTATAATTTAATTTATTAAATCATTTTACAAAATAACAAAGGCCCAAGGCTTAATAATTAAATAAAATTACTTGGGGGGGCAGGGATATAGCTCAGCAGCACAAGCGCATGGTCCTGAGTTCAATCCCCAGTACCACAAAAAAAAAGAGAGAGAAAGAAAGAATAATATTTCTGTGGCTGGTGAGATAGCTCAGCAGCCTCAGCACCTGCCTGACAAGCACAAAGACCTGGGTTTGATCTCCCAGTGCCGCATGCCCTGCTGGCCCTACCCCAGGCCCACTGAGCTGGCCACTGAAACCAGGTGTGGTGCTACACACCTATAATCCCAGAGCTGGGGAGGCTGAAACAGGATCACTATGAGTCTGAGCTGCATAGTGAGACCCTATACCAAATACATAAATTTAAAAAAAGAAAAAGAATACTTCCATGTCTCCTTAAAAACAAAAACCACCTGTCTTCCCTGCCATGCAAAATTCAGAGAGGTTGAAATAGTATTATTGGTAACTCCTGCGTGTACTTGACAAGTTGCTTACACACGGGTCACACGCGACTGACATACACGGGTTGCAATTCAACTGTGCATGGTGGGTGCAAGCGGCAGAGTTTCCCTGCCCTGTTTGGTGTGCTCTTGTGCCCTATGCAATCCACACTAGACCACCTGCAATGAAGTACTAGAAAATATAGCCAAAAATCACAAGGTAATGTTGTTTATCTTATACACTCAGAGCCTTGGGTCGGCTGGGCCTGTCTTCAAGGCATGGTTTCCAGGATAGCACTGTTTATTGGGAAGTGGCAGAAACTTTGAAAGGCAAGACCTTCTGTGTTGTCTTAGGTAACTAGTGTCATGCTCTTAAGGGGATTGTTGGACCACGCACATCCTTCTTCTGCCTTTTTGTGCTCCCTGGCGATGCAGCGAATGTTCTCAGCTGTGCATTCTCAACATTGCTACACAGTCACCAGCCGCAGACACAAAACCGTGGGTCTGCTTGATCTTGGACTGGAATCCCCAAAGCCCTGAGTCAAAACAAATCTTTTTGCAAGGTATTTCAGGTATTTCATTGCAGTAATGTGAACTAACACATGGACCCTTGGGGAAATAAACTTAGTTTTCAAAGAACGTGTTCTGTTTTGGCACGCATGTTATGTTGCAAAATTATAGTATCAAATACAACTGGTATAAACAGCACTGTGACCAAACACCAGAGGAAATATGCACCTGAGCCAGAAAGAACAAAATATACCAATTTATTATACGATAGCAGTGGCGACAGTGATCTCTGTGCTCTGAGCAACAATCAGTGTGTGTTCCACAGGGGAACAAGAACATTGGTTACCTCCACGAGTCACTTTAGTATTGGTCAGTACTCCACTCCCTCTGATATTAGTGGGTCCGGAAGTGATTAAGCATCTGTTATACAACAGCACAGCCTCAACAGGTCCCTAAAAGGAAATCTTTTGTTTTCAAAAAGAAGCAGGTGGGGAAGGGGATGGAGCTCATCCCCTAGTAGAGTTTGGCTAATGTGCACAAGGCCTCAGAGGAGAAGGAGCAAGGACAGTAGGGTGAGGGGGAAGAGGAGGTCCTAGAAGTGTTTTCTTTTATGTTGCAGTGCAAGCTATTTCTGTGTCTCTGTATCCTCTATGTCTGTCAGCACAGAACAAGAGGTGCTCAAAGTGTAGCCTCTACACAAATCATGAAAAGGGACTGGTTCAATACATATTTGTTAAATCAGTAAATTAATAAGTACAGTGTGTTAGATACTAAATGGCACATATTGTTACTTGGCTAGAAGAACTTGCCTTATCATCAATGTACAGTAAACAAAAGAGAGCTACAAATCTGGAGGGGCAAAGTGGTTAATGAATGAAGAAAACAATTGACTGCTCTGGGTGCTGAGCAGCCTTTGGAGATGGTGGCTCTTCCCAAGCACTGAACAGAGATCACATTTTAATAGGACACTGTTAGATAATGACACTTTCTGGTGTGCTTTGATGGCAAACAAATTAAAAACAGAGACAGAGTCTTCATGCTTAAAACATCCCTAAATCTTCAACTGTGGATATGGTTTTTCTCAAATTATACCACCTTACTTGATGAGTTTTTAGATATATTAAAAATGTGTTTTAGATATACTAAAAAAACAGCTTTTAATTTGTTGGTGTTTAAAAGCAAAGCAATTGGTTCAATGAAGAATGTAAAATAATGAACAAACACAGCACTGATTTTATTTGGCTGTATACAACAAAAAAATTGCCAAGTTCATTCTGATAAGATTTTGTTAAGAACAACAAACATGACTGAACTTGAAAATCATGCTGTTTTGAGGAAAATGCATTTGAGAGGATTTGGGAATGCTTAAAACTGAAATTTCTGATTTAAAGAAAGTGCCTCGATGGTGACAGGTGTACCAATAGTCACAACCCTTTGCACCCTTTAAGAAGGAGAGCAGGGGGCAATGTAAAGCGAACACAACCAAAACAGAACACTATCTTCTTAAAGAACTAGCTGCATCTTACACGCTAACACAACTGCAGGCTCCAACATTAACACAGTAGAACTCACACTTTTGAGCAAACAAACGTCCATGCTTCAGTAAGTTTAAAGTCACCGCACTGAAGTTGCTGCAATAAAGGAAATGGATTCCAAATGAAAGTACTTTAAATGAAGATGGGAACTATTATTTATGTAACATACGCAGTCCTTAACCGTCAGAGCAGCAACTTCATTGTTTTCCATAATTACAAAAGCAATTGATCTATGGAATCAGAAGCAAGACAGACTGGAATATTTGTGTTTATTTCCATTCTTTAGATAAAACTGACAGCCTCTCCTATCTAACTTGCAAAGTCCTGGACAATTCTCAGAAGTAAATGTAACTGGAGCTTTATGAATCAAAGTTCTTTGTTTTGTACACAGACCTCTCCAAAACATTCAGCAAAGCACTCAGCAATAGTAGATACTCAATAAATATATGTTAAATTGAATTAAATGTAAAAACTACATAGCGCAATACAATGTTAAGTTAGTTTTAATTGCAAGCCATGACTTCCAGCAAAGGTTACGGTATTAAACAACAAACAAATGGTCTCCACTAGGCCATTTCTCAAGCCAGCTCTAATTCCATAAATCACACTTTACGTGTGATCACAGCTTTAACCTGGCACCACCACAGAAACCACAGAATTAGAAGAAACCCCAAAGACAGACATGGGTGGATTTACTTTGGTTTTTTGTATTTTTAGTACAGGATCTACAGGATCTCACTACATAGATCAGACTTGTAGTGATCCATCTGTGTTCAGCCTCCCAAGAGCTGGGATTATAGGCGTGTGCCACCACACCCAGTCTTATTCTTTGTTTTGATTGATTACTTTTTTTTAACTTAGGGTGTATTTATACATTCAATATAAAAAATAAATATTACTCAAAACTAAGGATTGATAATTTTTAATTATGCTACAAAGTGAATTTGACTAAGTTAACCTGTCTCATCTATTTGAGAATCCTCTCAGTTATACAAGGATAGCTGGGTATGGTGTCACAAGCCCATAATCCCAGCTCTCTGGAGACAGATGCAGGAGAAACACGGTGAGTTTGAGGCCATCCTGGGCTACATAAGTGAATAAAAAAAAAAAAAAAAACAGACAAGAAAATCGTGACTAGGTGGCTCTGGTCACAGCATTTTTGTTCAGAATGCTGGAGTTCAAATGCAGGGTAGGGGAAGAGAAGGCCTGGAGTCCTGGTTGGCTCCAGCTGGTGAACAGCTCGGCCAGCCCTTGAGGACCCAGTGTTGGGGGTCCTGGGCTGTAAGGCAAATAACTTAAACCTGACGAACTCTAAAGTCCTTTTCAGGGCTAAGCTCCTGCAATTGTGAATGACCAAGTCCAGTCCCTCAGGGACTCCTTCCTTTCTGCAATAGACACAGGCTGGGCCCATTGGGAGGCTCCCCCACATTAGCCCTGGGCCTGCCTGACTTCGTCCATGAAGCAGGGGAGGCGGTTGATGACTTTAAAAACCAGGCAGCTTGGATACCTGTGGAGACACTGTTTCTGAATTTGGCAGGCCTGAAGATTTTCCTCCTGGGCAGAGCTGGCAGGGTTTCTGGAATGGTCAGCTTTCAACTAAGAATCATTTAGAGGGAACTAATTAGAGGCCCTTTAAAATGAAAGTGTTTGATTTAGAATGCTGAGTTGTGGGCTGGCACTGAAGTTTGTACTGCTTTTCATTGTGGTAAAACATAATATTAATATGAAATTTAATCTATTACAAGCTGTGAAGATTGGTGTGTTTTTAATAGACGACACTGGGGAAATAAATATTAATGTCATTAGAAATGCAATGAACACAACAGACTCCAAGAAAAATCTGGAAATCTACCTTTGGTAACCAAAGGAGCCCAAGATGAGAACAGCTCCCTCTCTTGCCACAGCCCCCGGAGCCCTGGAGCGGGCACAACAGAGCCGGCACCTGTCTCTTTTTAGCCCAGTGAGCCTGCCCAGCAACCCAAGAGCGGGTCCCACACTCAGGTGTGGACTGGACGCAGGGATGAAGAACGGAGCTGCCCGATCCTCCGCCAGCTCCAAGCCCTGTCTGGCCCCAAAAGATGCCTGAGTCACCGGAGAGCGGGAAGAGGGAGCCAAAGGAGTTTCCCAGCCCAGGCTCTGGCGATCCGCAGGCTGCATTCGCCCGCGACGCTGCGCCCCAGACGGCTGGACCCGACCAAGCTCCAGCGCTCCGAGGGCGCAGACCGCCCGACCCCGCGCGGGCTTCGACACGCGCCCCAGCCCAGCCCGCCGTCCTCACCTCGCGGGGACCGCTGCAGCCCTGGTGGCGGTGGCGCGCAGACATGTCCCCGGACGCTCCCGCCGAGCCGCGTCCCTGCACCGGGCCCCTCCTCTGGCCACAGGCGCCGCGGTCCGCGCTTCCGAGGGGCGGGGAGCCAACTGCCGGAGGCGCCAGCGCGGCTCAGCCTGGGGCCTCGGGAAGTGTCGGCGAGGAAAGCGGGTGGGGCAACACCAGAGGCTCGCCCCGAAAGGCTAGCTCAGTCCCGCCATTTCCGCGAGGGACTTTGCCCCGCAGTCCAAGGGGGTATATCTGTGGGATTTCTGCGCTACTGCTGGGGCCTGGCCTGGGCGAGGGGCTCCGGGAGGCGGACGCCTCGAGGTTATGCAATGCCGCATGCAGGGTGGCTCCGCTCCGAGCTCACACAGGGACTGCTGGACGCGCACCCCCGACTGAGCAAGCAGAGTAGGTCTGGTGTTCCCCAAAAAGCTTTTCTCCACAGGGTCAAAGAACAAGATCTTGAGCAGGAATGGGATTCTTTCAGGAGTATCTGTCAAAAACAAGATACCAGCCAACCAGTGGTAACTCCCGGGCAGCACAGTACACTGAAATGCCAGAGTGCACCTTTTAAGCGGAAACTAAACACCGAGTCCAGGGGCCTCGTGCTTTCTCTACTGCAAATGTGTACTTAGCCTAATAGTAGCCAGCTGTACATCTCAGTACCTCTCACTGAAGGATACAGAAAATAATCTATGTATTTGTCCAATTAGTATAATGAACAGCAAGGAGTGTGCAGGTTTCCAAAAGTGGCAAAATGGGACGTTTACCCACATGATCTGCTAACTGGTTTTGGTATCTTTCCCTGAGCATCACAGAAGGTCCAATAGACTCACACTACTCCAGAATTTTTTTTTTAAGTTTTCTTTTGATTTTCCTGGCAGAAGTAATCCAATTCAGAACAATGACAGATTAAAAAAAAAAAAAAAAAAAAAAAAAGATTTGCAAGTTTTGGAGGAGGTCAAAAGTGAACCATCAATTTAAACATGCATGGAAGATGAAGACACTCTGTTATGTTAAAAGACATGCTTTCATACCAGAAGACTGGTGTGAATGGATGAAGATGATGACTTGGACAGTGGCCATGTGTTCCTCTGACAATGAGATAGAGCAAGAATTAACAGACAGACAAGGGGACTGCAGACCCCTTGATTCAGAGGACGATAAGTACATATTTAATAAGTCAGCATGTTTCACAAGGGCCATAGAACCAAGTGGAATGATCAAGTGTTAGAACTCTGTGCAGAAATACAATATAGGTCCTGGTAAGGGTGAAACCTGTTGGACAAAATGCCAGAATGTCGACTTAGTTTTGGTTGACACAGTTATCCTAGAACTGAGCCCTCAGGTTGCTATTCTTACAGCAATAAGCTGAGTGATGCGAGCAGAGCTGCTGCTCATAGCTCCCAAGCTAATTGGAATGCGACGCTGGACAATCGCTGTGCCAGTTTCTAACCATGTTACATTTTCTAACAGATCACAAGTTGACCAGCACAGGAACTGTACACAGGAACAAAACAGAAATTCCAAGAAATGCTGCAATTTCAAAACAGAGAATTGTTTTGTACAGTTTTCGGACTTCAGGAAGATATAACATTGGCATTGTATATGGCACAGAAAAGCAAACAGGTGTTATTAATGTCAACATTCCACCAGGATGGGAAAATATCAGTAGGAAAATCTTGGCAACATGCAAGCTAAGGAGGAAACTTTCTACAACAAAACCAAAGATGGAGTAAAAGTTGATGATGAGTTATTCAGCAACTATAATGCCACTCAAAACACAAAACATTAGCCAATGGTTGTGTTTTACTCAGTCCTAAACCTGTAGGACATAAATAGCTTGATGGTTTGCAAAGAAAATAACAAGTACAAAATACCACAGAGAAATTTTCTTACAGAGTTAGGACTGCGACACAAGAGATCATTTATTTTTTATTTGGTACAGGGTCTCACTATGCAACTCAGACTCATAGTGATCCTTCTGCCTCAGCCTCCCCAGTGATGGGATTACAGTCATGTGCCACCAGGCCCAGTTTCAGGGCCCAGTATAGCATGTGGTACCAGGATTCAAACGCAGGTCCTTATGCTTGCCAGATAGACACTTAAACCTCTGAGCTATCTTCCTGGCTCCATAAGAGATCATTTAAAACAGAGGAAAATCAAAGTGTTTCTCCCCAGGGAACTACACAAAAATATTTGCAGCACACAGGTGATCTGACAGGTGAACAGAGAGGCACAGCATCACAGAGACCTATTACACAACAAGAAAACAAAAACAGATATCAAGAAGGAAGGACAGGAAAACAAAACATGTGTTATCAGTTTAAAGGATACTTGTATATGGAGCATGCAGTTATCACGTGTGAAGATTGCCTGGGATGTGCCTATTGAAGCAAAGATTATTTCTGTGGTAGACTCTTGTTTATGTTTACATTGCAGTTCATGTAGACTTCTATTCTTGATGTTATCTTTTAGGTTTTGTAAGCAAGTAAACAGTTGATATGAAAATGTTGATGTCTATTATAAGCATTCATTATGTATTTGTATTTTATTTTACTGATACCTTATTTCCCTGCTAAGAGCATGTTGTACAGTATACTAGAAAGCTTCTGACAAAACAGGAAAAGAGATACGACAGAACTGCCACATAGGAAAGAAAAGCTAGGCTCATGTGCTGTCAGTATAAATGAGATGTGTAAATGGAGAATGCAGTTCTCATGTGTGACAATTGCCTTGAGTGTGGCAACTGATGCAAAGCATATTTTTATAGTAGAGTTCTATTTGCATTTTCACTTTAATTCACATAGGAATTTATTTCTGATGTTATCCTTTAGTTTTTGTGAGCAGATACACAGCTGATGCAAAAATGCTGATACCTATTCTAAACTCAGAATACATACTAAGAATTAAAATATCAATAACAAAAGTATCAATGTTCCTGCCAACTACTGACTATATAATATAAAAAGAACCTTCTGAAAAAAATAGCAAGACCACTATGCACGTATATCCTGCAAAAAGGCCAGGAAAACAAAGCCCATCTTCTGTGTAAACAATATGAGAGTATGGAAATTGCTGTTGTACTGTGTACAGAATACCTTAGGTGTAACGGTTGAAGTAGAGTATTACTTTCATGAAGTGTTATTCATAAACAACAACCATTCATTGTAGTTCCTATAAGAATTTATTTTTTTAGATTTTGTACACCAAAAACTGTCAATGTTGAAAATTTTGATGCTTTTTAATAGATATTCAATAAATATTTGAAATTTAATACTTTATTTTTGTAATCTTTTCCAGTTAAGCACTCATTTTTTAGTATACTAAAACTCACAAAATTAATAATTGTCTGTTTATGACAAAATCATATGTCCTATGAGCTCTAAGTGCCAGATGGACATGGGTTCTCAGAGAACCGGCCTGGAGGTGCCCCAGAGGTGGGTTCCAGGCTGCCTGTCTGCAGAGCACTCTCCTCAGCAGAAGAAAGGGCTCTGAACTCTAAAGGTTAAGATTCCAGCTTCTTAGAGTCTGCCACTCTAAGTGGTCTACAGACCCCCATCACAGAAACTGTAAATCAGAATGTGAATTTCAAGAAGCTTGTCTGATGCACATCAAAGTTCTAAAATTCATTAAACTTTTGTAAGGGGAGGAGAGTAGGGTTTCACTGATCATTACTAGGCAATATTTTCCACTTAGGATACTTTTTAAACTGACTAGTAAAGTTCTTTCCTATTTACCTTTTGCCTATTTTGTCTCTTTCCTTCCCCTTACTTTTCTGGCCTTTAATTATAAATCTGAATTTAAGTTTCAAAATCTTTAGGTTAAAACAAAGTCAATACACGTTTAAAAATACACAAAAGAAGGAACAAGCTGGGCATGATGGTCTACACCTGCAATACCAGCATTTAAGAGGCAGAGGCATGACCATGGCCGGGAGGTCAGGGATAGCTTGGGCGAGAGAGTGAGTACAAGGCCGATCTGAATTACATACTGACATCTCATCTCAAACAAATAAGCTCATAAAAAAATCATTAGCACTGAAAATGAACCTATAAATGTACGGGGCAGGGGTGAGCCCTAAATTCTGAGCTGTGCAGGGCTTAAACAGCTTTGTTTCAGAAAAAAATACTCCTGTCAGTTATATATTGTTTTGGGGTGGCAAACACATTTCATTTTCCACTTAAATAATGTAGAACAACAAATTCTTATAAAACGTTTTGGAGAATAGAAAAGACTCACAGATTTCCTTCTAAGTAATCACTGGCAGGGCCTCTAACGAAGCCCAAAGCAAATATTTTGTTTGTTCTGTTAAGTGCTGTGTCCTTGTTGTTTTATTCTGAGTGTTCACGGTTCATTTGCCTGACTCTAGCCCTGGCACAAGGAGTTCATCCTTTATGAGGCCAGGAATTGTTGTTTGGTGTTACAATGAATGCAGTGGGGACAGGCAGGGTCCCACACAGCTGTTCGCACGGGGGCTCCCTGTGCAGGCTGGGAAGGGTAAAGCGAAGGGAAGTAGACACAGAAAGAGTCTTTTTCTTCTTAAGTTGGAGGAACAGAGGAGCTATCAAGGGGGGAGAAAGCCCTTCAGCTCAAGCTCTGTAGAAGAACAGCAAAGGTGCAACTCTGGAACCCAGCCAGGGAAAAAGGAAAGATGCAGCATTTCCTCTGAACAGCACAACTTTCTGCAACAATAGAAATATCCTGTATTTACACAACCCAACCCCCCTCTGAAATATGGCTATTTTTATGTTAAGTAATAATTATGAGGAAAGAAGTTTATGTGTGTTTGTGCACGCACACACACTGCTTGTTGTTTAGCTATAGTGTCTTGCACTAGCCACATTTCAAGAGTTTCATACTAAGATATGCCCAGTGGCTATCATATTGGGTAGGACATACAATATTTCTTTCATCACAGCAAGTTCATCACCCCCAGATTTGGGGGGAGGAGATGAGCCCAGACCTGGGCTTTTTCAAGACCTAGTCATCTCCTTGAAGGCAAGTGGAGACATATTAAACCTACCTTTTGAGTCCTAGTGAGGTTCAAAATGAAGTTATTCATAGACTGCATGCTGCAATATCTTGTACATGACAAATGTGTAAACATTATTATTTAGTCATATTTTTTACATTGAAAAATGTTGGGGTGACAGATTCTTTGCTAGGCAGAGTTCAGTTCTGGAGCTTCTTTTGGCCATCTATGTACTTCCTTCTGAGACCTAATTTGAGCAAAAAGTGTTGCTAAGTCAGTTTAGCAAGAACCTGTCTTTGTCATATCTGATCAACCTTGATATCCAACAAGATTCCTCACCTTCCTCTGCCACCCCAGGTTATGTCGGAGCTGGCCTAGCTTCAGCAAGAATCCTGTTAAATTGTATCCATAATGTCCCTTAAGATTGGGGTTTCCTCTTGGAAATGTCCCTATCT